ATGTACTTTAAAATAATTTAACATGATTGGCTGAAGAGGAAATTAAGATTTTGTTCGTAGATGTCACTTTTTTACATATTCGCGATATAACCTTTATGCCCTTTTTTCGTCTTGAAGGAGTGAACATCAAAATAGACATTTATACACCATTCCATAGAGAATTGGAAGGGCTATTTTTTGCAGTATTTATATAAATAAGAGAATCGACTTTTTCGCCTAATGTCCGCTTGGATGCCCACTGTGAAATGATCGTCACATTGTCCCCAAAAACCTCGACAGAGAAGCATGTGTTTCGCTTTTTAACGTTTTCTCTCGATAAGTGTTGGACGCCTAAATGGTGAGGTACGAAGCGTTCGATTAAACATTGACGAACTCTGTCGAATGCATCTGCAGCTCTTTTACGCCGGTCTTGGCCGTTTCCAGGTATATTAAACATAGAACCTATTTGTCTAAAAGACAAATTAGTTTTTAACTTGATCCAAAATATGGCGAGCGCATTTCGAATATGACGGTTAGAAGATGAACGAAGGATAGGAGAAATGATTTCATCATTATTACTGCCCCACTTCGAATTTCTTGACGGCAAATTACACAATATTTATGTCCACGATCACAAAAAATAACATTTTTCAGGGTGAACCGATTCTCATCAATATTAGTATTGATTTCATCCATTGTGTCCATTGGTTCAGAATTAGGCGAAGTGTCTATTGATTCTTTGATACTGTAAGATGAACCGACACAATTGGAGGAAAGATATAAGTCGTTCTCATCAAACATCGTATCATTAGCTCGAAGCATGAAACCATCCACAGGAAGACGAGGGCAAAGAGCGGTAGTTAGAACACCATTGAGAACATAAAACACATTTCTTGCGTGACATTTGAGAAACTTTCTGTGACTAGATGAATAAAATATATTTTCAAATATCTGAGGATATCACTATAAGTGCCTAATATTTTTATTCACGTTCTTTGCTTAGATGAAATGATGTTTTTTTCCAGACGGTGGTGCATATACATAAGTTGTGCTTGTTTCAAAAAGATATAAAGCCAAGAGGCGGTTACACCAGTAATCAACGTTGAAATGGGCAAAAAGAAAAGAAACAGAGAAACAGAGAAAAAAAAGTATGGTGAAAAATAAAAAATGAGTTATGCGAGAGAGAAACGAAAAACAACGCAATGATGGAGAATAAAGGCCCTCCATGTCCCTTGCGAGTAATACGACGTGTTCTTCCTGAATTATCTGCCTGCGTCTGTTAATCTATCTGTCTGTTACTCTTTTATGCATGTACAACAGGCCTCACCAAGCAAAGATACATCATAGATATGTTTCTATACGTGACAGAGGGCCTATTTTACAAGAAAGTTATGAAGTGTGCCTTGATCTTGCTTAAAAACAAAAGAAACGAAAAAAAATCGGCGTGAAAAAGAACGAACACCAATGTCAAAACGAAGAGTAAAAAGTTATTACCATCGATTAATGCTAATAAAAAAACGTATTTTTCATGACGATCAATTTCATTCAATAAATGGTTATTTTGCTTCTACAAGCAAGGTCTAACTCTTATCGGCGTAAAAATAGCGTTTCTCACAGGCGCTTGATTATCATAAACCATACCACCAATTAAGTATGTGAAATTAAAAATAGGCAGAAATGTGCGCCAGAAAATGGGCTTTCAGAATATATAACTTTGATTAAATTCTGTAGGGTGGCAGATTTTGACCCTTATCCGGCGGAGTCCTTTACTCTTTGGACATAAGCCTAAAAAAGAAAGAAAATGAGATTCAAACATATGTATTTATGAATAGAAAAATTATAGTCAATCTATTCATAACAAATCCAATTAAAGATAGTCTAGCAAATAGTTTGATCAAACATTTCGTTGCTTATGGATATTCTTATAGTTTCTTTTTTTCTGAAATTTTACTTTTTCGCTAGAGGTCGCTCTTGTTCTATGTAACATCTATACATTAAACTAATACAAAATTGGATTGGTAGAAGAATTCTATCCAACAATTTATGAGTCAACACATTTACTCATCATGTAACTACATATAAGTGCAAAGATATCAAATTCTTATTTCATTTACATTTTCAGCCGATTTATAACAATGAGTTTTGTACCTCCTGATGCTGAATGTATCGCCAAAGCTCTTGGTCATATTACACAGGTTTGTTTTGTATATCATTTATTTCTATCATGCCGTTTTGATTTATTTTTCAGTTACCAAAAGATATGCAAATGGCTATAACAAATAGACTTGATGAGAGCATTAGCGCAAAACCGATACCTGTACCAGCCAGTACCTATACCTGGTGATGGTGATTGGTTAAAACAGCATGAAGAAAGAGGTGAAACTATGAAATAATTTGAACGAAATACATCAAAAGCTATTCCACATGCAATGTAACTTCTTTTTTTTAATTTCATTCATTCCAAATTTAATTTTTTATTTATGATAGTTATAAAACAATTTATATTCAACCAGTCGGTAGTTTTGATCATCCAAGGTAAAAAAAAGAGAATTTTTTTATTTTTATTTTTATTTTTTTAAGTTTAATTATAAATTTCAAAGTAAAGATCTGCACCACTTGATTTAATTATTCAATTTGCTCGTGTATTTTTTTCTGGATGTGAAGTTGAATTATTACCAAGCGTTAATTTTACTAAAGATATGAAATATCGAGACATAAATGGAAGACGACAATATCGAACAGATGGTTTTCATAATTATTTATCTCAAACACGTCATCTACGCAACAAAAGATGAGAACTTTTATGTGTTGATGTAACTATGGCTGATATTTATCCAGAAGAAAGTTGGAATTTTGTTTATGGACAAGTTGATTCAATAAATGGTGTTGGTGTTTATTCATTTGTCTGTCTTGATCATATGGTTTTTTCCGTTACAGTATGATTTTTATGTGTTGTAACTGTTGTTTATAACTTCGCAAGTACCACTCCAGTGGTAGTTGGCAATTCTTGACCAGTGGTCGATGGGCGAAATCGGCGATGGGGGAAGGTACCACACGGATCTCTAGATGCAGGATATGCATATGTTTCAGATTGCACACACCTGCGTCTATGCTTGCGGAACAGAGGGTTAGTTTCTGCAAGAGTATAAATAAAATTATCCCACAGTCGCGCCACTCCGAATCATTCTATTTTACGTTTCTACACGATGTGTGTACGAAAAATGTTCTTTCGAAAGACATACGTTTAATAAAAGAAGATCAAGACTAAGGGTAGGAGTGTTTTTTATTGTTAAGATTTCTTTTTGTAGGAATTATTCTTTGAGCGTAGTATAACATACACTCCAGTGGATGGTACTGAACTTTTGCTGTCTTTCCACGCGTACTAAAGTATTTATTGAACGATGAAGTACTGATTTTTTATTTCTGCACCAAAACAAAAGGATATTTAATTGATACTAGAAGAGGTTGGAGAAAACTGACGTGACCTAAACAAATGTAAAAAAAAGTAGGTGTAGAGTTTACTATAATTGATCACATGCCTACTTGTTCAGGCTAGTCTATATCTTGTCTGATTGTCCTCATCATTGTCTTCGAAATCAGTTATTTGCATGCGATTATCAGACGCATGTAGCAAATGTGAGCCAGATGGTTGTACTCGCTGGTGAGATTGCTGTCGTTCGAATCCAAGAAACCATATAGCTGATGCAACATGTGAACAACAACCAGCAACTCTACTACCGATTGGATCTCGAGAGAAAATGTTAAAGTAAATCAGAAGCGAAGTACGAATTTGTAGCCATGAGTAACGTACACTGACAGTACCAACCAACAACTTTTGATTTAGTAAACCGAATAGTTGGCTAGTATGTTTTTCGTTTGGAATGCGCAGATTTTGGTATAACACGGCATAGATCCGGTTTCGTTTTGCATACTTGTACTTAATTGACAGATTAGTGAGATCTGTTGATGAAGTATATTCCTCGGCATAGCTGCGAGCACGCTTGAGTTGGAATATTCCTATACGAACGATTGATTAAACGCTTAGTTAGACGAAAGGGAAAATGTGATTATTATTTACCGAACGTCAGCTTTCGTATTTGACTTTCAGTCAAAATTGGAAATTCAAGAAATTCAGTTGCATTGACAGTTGTCCAGTTTGAGAATCGCGATAAATTGCTCTCGTTAAGCAACTGAAAAGGACCAAACTTTATATTAGCATTCACTGAAAGATATTTTTATAGTCTGTTATCTGTGGCGAAGGAAGCTTATTTTGCAAAGTGTCCGTTGCACATCTCACTTCTCAGGTAGCATATTGCTTAGCATTACCTGTTGAACAAGATTTGGCTTGTTTACTAATTCAAGCATTTCTTTTGATGACTCAATATCGCCAGGTTTTGATTTTAATACTTCCGATTTATAACAATTAATTAATGCACAAGCTATTGAAAGATAAATCTTTAATTGACGAGTTCTGAAATGTTTGTGAGAATAATTTGAATTGTTTTAACTGAGCATTAACCATTTCTACGGCCGATCTGATTTTGGTAATTAAACGCGATTTGTTGGCTTCGATAGTTCTGAACTGCTTTCACTTTCTTAGAAATAGTGGCATAGCAATACGTAATCCCAATGCATGCATTACACCAACACAATTTCGGAAACCACGGTCTACCACGAATATATCATCCTACGTAAAATGAAAATGGCAGAAAACATCAATGATACATATCTTTAAATAAATGATTTCCTTCTACTTCGAAAATCCAATCTACTATTTTTTCGGTATTGTTCAATAAAATATCTTTCATCATAGATGCGTCATTATTACTAAAATCCGATAAATATGGTCCAATACAAGAAACAATGTAGCCTGAAGTGGTAACAATCATCATTAGTTTCAATAAACTTCGATGCTTATGCAAACTGAATGTTCTTCGCTGATATTCATTGTTTCGTAACTTCTAATAATACGTAAAGAAATATAATAGTTAATAGTGAACTATTCAGATTGTTCTCAAAATTACGCAGAATCAGGATCAGATATCGTGCTAGCTTATATCGAAAACAAGAATTCATGAGAGATTGTAAAGTCTCTTACTTGAATGTAAATAGATGTTCCATCTGCCACCAAAATTGCGGTGTCAGGATCACCATTAGCCATTAACTGACGTGCGAATGCAGTTGTATCATGTTCTACAACGTTGTCGCGACTTATATGCCCAAAACCCAAATAATGGGTACGAAGCTGATGGTGACTAACTCACTTCGAGTGCTGCCAATCGCTGATGACACCGATCGTTTACTTGGTAGCTGGAAAACCGACGCTAAAACTCGGTTTGAGATACCTAGCCGCATTTTGGCAAGGAGGTAAGCCACAGCAGTACGATTTGAACGATACGGGGAGTTGCGTAAATTCAATGTTGATAACATGGTCATCAAATGATCAAATTGTTCTTTACTTAAGCCAGTCAAATTGTAATTATCTTCATTCACCAATTTCATCATATCGTCAAAATTAAATCGTTTTTCATTATTCATCATTATTGTGACTTTTGCGAACAATCCGAGAATATCACCGCAGGATAAGGAAATCCTCCGGATATAATGAGGACGAAGTCGATCAATAGCTTCACGTGTTAAACGACGATTTATCATATGCTGCGGACAACAACGTGCACCGCTCGGTACAAAGACATTTATGTGAAAAAAACGAATTTAATCGATCTTCCTCACTAACGGTCATTGTTACACCAGAAACCTCGATCTTACAAACATGATTCAACATGTTTTTTCCATGAGGAAGGGAGAAGAAGATTGAACACATAATTTTGATATATAATGAGTATACAATGTGCGGGAAAAAAAATGAACACTACCCTCCCGTTAGATGACCTATGGTTTTGAGATAGTATCTTGCCCGATCGGGCAAGTAATAACGGACCGACTTTGCTATACATTGGGACATACGTCATCTTTACCTCGTTCTCACGTTCCGCCTCTAACGCCTGTTATGGCTCTTCGTGTCACGCCTTCACCGTCGTGTTTTTCATCGCCGGCTGCTCGTCTCCAACTACGCATGGATCTTAACTTTTCGCATTACCTACCGTCACGACCACTGCCGATTTCATCACACATCCATCCTCGGTCATCTTCTACACGATCTACTGCTCACTCGTCTCAAATATCCATTCACTACCATTCAGTACCATGATTAAACGTCTCTCAGCATCCAACTTTTACACTACGTCTTCACACCGCTACCTTCTTACGCACATCACCGTCGACAGCAACATTCACCTTTTCACATTACCGCTTCATCCAATATGACACATCATCGAAGCAAAACATTGACTTCACCTCATCCGCATTTTTTAATTTTAAACGTTTTTTCTTTTTTTAATTTTTGTTTTTGGTAAATACTTTTTGCGTTTTCGCCGGGTATTCTCTCTTATACTTTTTATTTGTTTTTGTTGTTTTTGTTTTCTTTTGTTTTGTTGTATCCTCTTTGGTACTTCTCTCCAGCTCGTTTTCTGTCTTATTTTAATGCTACACTGTAGTTGTTTTATTCTCTATATGTGCCTTTTTGTTTTCGTTTTTTTTTTGTGGCTTAGTCTTTGTTTCTGGCGCCATAGCAACCTGATCGTACTGTCCGCGAGAGGGCAGTCGGATCGCGGTGGGGGAGGGGGGCATGTGACGATTATTGGTTACAACCTTTACTCCCAGTATGTATAGGTTAGCGTAGTAGACATGGATTTTACGTTGTTGCATGCTGTTCTCTCTTTTCTGTAGTTTTGTTTTCTTTTTCCTTTTCCTTTTTGTTCTTATCTTTTGGCATGTATCTATATGGAATCGAATAGTTTAGTTTAGTAGGTTGTCATTTTTTTATAAAGAGTAGTCGAAATAAAAGTATAATATACATACACTACGTACTATAAAGCACACGTACAATAACCTCTCTAGGACTTATAAGTAGAGGAAATATAAGTCTCTCACACTTCTGTCTCTGATGCCTGATAATTCAGATGAACAGGCCAAACAGCGTATGCTAAATAAGTGCCGTGAATACTACTATGATAGTGAAGCAGATTTGAAAAAAATTCAAATGTTCGAAGAAACCTATCAATCAGCAGACGCAATTCAATGGTACACGGCTAAGTTATTTATTTATCGTATGATTAATAAAGCATTGAGAGCCGAGAACATAATGGACTTGTATTTATTTCGCTTCTTTATATTCGATCCAGAGTTGCCGATTGGGGTATCCATGTAGGTGGGGTCCGTGGGGAGACAGCCCATAGGGACAGGGAACGACACATCACCCCATCATCTGGACCCACATGGTTCAACTTTTGGACAATCAGTTTTCCCCTCGTGGTCGTGGTATTCAATTCTTTCATTTTTTTTGTAATTCTAATAGCCATTTATATTATTTCTTTTATTTCCGACCATATTAACCATTTCTCTTTACCTTCTGTGTTCATCTTTCTATCACCTACTTATTTCGCATTCTCTGGACATACATAATCACATCCTTGATGTTGTGAAGTTACACTTTTTATGTTTTCTTACGTGTGTTTATTTTATCTCCCTTTTGCATTTGTCTTCTTTTTTCGTCGTATATACCTCGATATTAGTTAGAAACTTAAAGATTCAATATTACATGCGCTTCGTTTTTCGTTTTTACGCTTTCAGATTTACTGTTTGTTTCGATGTTTGTTGATAGCTTTTTTCGAAAAATAATTAATCTTTACTGTTTACCCCATGGGTGGAGTTTGGGGAGCCCATGGTCTGGAGTAAACTGAATTTAAATAACCTAGTTTCTTCATAGGTAGGAAAAGTTATTATAAAAACTAATATATGGGGTACCCTTCCTACGGGGAACCCACAAGGCCCATGGGGCAACGAATATTATTGCATCGGCATCTCTGATTCGATCTTTCTTCAAAACTAAAAGAAAAACATTGTTTGCAAACAACAACATCACTACTCGTTTATCGTGGACTAAAACAAATTCATAGTGAAATTGATGAGTTACAGCTGAATATTGGCAATCTGATATCACCGAACGGTTTTATATCATCCAGTCGTTCAAAAACAGTCGCCTATAAATTTGCTACAAAACCGTCAAAATGTAACAACAATTTGAAGCCAATTCTATATGAAATTGAAATTTCGACTAGCGACTGCATCCATGCGGATATTGCAGAATACAGCGAATTCCCGAATGAAGAAGAAGTCTTGTTCGACCTCGGGGTCATCTTTCGTATTGAAAATGTTTGTTATGAGAATAATCACGAAATATGGCTCGTTCGTCCGAAAACAGTGACCATTGAGTGATTAACCATTTCTCTTTATGCCCAAAACCCAAATAATGGGTACGAAGCTGATGGTGACTAACTCACTTCGAGTGCTGGCAATCGCTGATGACACCGATCGTTTACTTGGTAGCTGGAAAACCGACGCTAAAACTCGGTTTGAGATACCTAGCCGCATTTTGGCAAGGAGGCAAGCCACAGCAGTACGATTTGAACGATACGGGGAGTTGCGTAAATTCAATGTTGATAACATGGTCATCAAATGATCAAATTGTTCTTTACTTAAGCCAGTCAAATTGTAATTATCTTCATTCGCCAATTTCATCATATCGTCAAAATTAAATCGTTTTTCATTATTCATCATTATTGTGACTTTTGCGAACAATCCGAGAATATCACCGCAGGATAAGGAAATCCTCCGGATATAATGAGGACGAAGTCGATCAATAGCTTCACGTGTTAAACGACGATTTATCATATGCTGCGGACAACAACGTGCACCGCTCGGTACAAAGACATTTATGTGAAAAAAACGAATTTAATCGATCTTCCTCACTAACGGTCATTGTTACACCAGAAACCTCGATCTTACAAACACAGCACATGCTAGAGAATAACAAATGGATAGTCTTAGAAATAGAAGGTTATCAGCTTTTAAGAAATCTCGCATGAAAATAATAGGTCTCTTATTGATGCGAAGATATAGTACAGTTCACTGGGATTTCACAAAGATTATTGGTTTGAACGGACTGATGTTGATGATAGGGCTGAACAGATGTACTCATTTCAAACTCGCTTGATCCATTGGAAGAATCATTATCTAGTTCCATTATTTCTGTCTGAATAGAAAAAACAAACAGAACGTCAAAACTGCTTGAAGAAAAATAACCTACAAGACGTACTTATTCATCATTATGAGCTTCAACTGGATTTAGTCCTTCACGCATTTGTTTTATAATTTGATCGAACTCAGGATTATTACGTTTCCAGACATAATATGAATTACGGCAGGGAAAGCGGGTTCTGAACGAAGAATATTTATACACATATACAAGTATTCTATTAAATCGAAAGGGAATCCGGTTAATATTCCTGAACTAAGTGGCGGGAATGTTGGATGTCAAAATCTAACAAATGTGGTAACACAAACAAGCGAGAATACATCAGAGTAATCTCAGAAAGAGTTTTCTCTTCTTTGTTACATCATGAAAACCCTGGAATCAGTTCAACTGGAGATAGGGTTCAAATGATGGTAAAGCCCAGCCGTTCTTGCTGGTTCTCGATGCATTACTCTGGACCCTTAAAACTTTTTCTGGCAAGAACATTAATTTCGCACTTGTCTGTACTATAAACCGTATCAGGTCTCCAAGGTTAAAAGCCTCTAGTCAATTAAAACAAGGTAGCACAAGGGAAGTCGGCAAATTCGACTTGTAACTTCGGGAAATAGGTTGACTCTAAGAACTAGGGTTAGTCGGGCTTGAATATGAAGCAGTAGATATTATGCTCGAGCTGAGCATATAGAGATATTTGCCTTCGGGTGAGTGTCTCTTAAGTTCGGACTAGTGTTTAAAAAAGTGTTAAAAAATCAGAATGTAGAGTATTT